ATTCTTTTATTTTTTACGAGAAGATTCTGCGTTTCAGTTTGAGCATTTTTGCTGACTGACCTTCCAAGCACTTTTTTTTGTGTCTGTATAAAAACTTTGATCTGTAGAATCCAAGACAATTTCCGCACGGAAGAAAAGATGCACTTGGTGAACGAGCCTTCTTCACAGGTTTGACGCACTCTTCTGAATTTTTTATGAATTTGACTTTTTTCTTCAAAAGTGCAAGTAATTTTCTCCTTTCTACAGAATTCTTTTGATGTGAAAATATTTCCTGAACTTTTGTACGTCCGTTTCACAGAAATAACACATATTGGTCTGGCGTCTATATTTCTTCGATGCTGCGAGTGTAGAGGGCTCTGCAGATTCACCTTCACCAGCAGCACAAATCAATGGCGGTTCATTCTCCGTTTCCTGAAACAAGCGATGATTAAAAAATTGAAATTATGTATTGGTGAATCATATAGTCCTAGTCATATCAAGTGTAAAATTAAAGAACATAGTAGTTTGGAAAACAGTGATCTCTCAACGTAAAACTACTACTACCTTGCCTTAGTTGGCCGGGACTATCATTCTTGCCTTAGTAGCCCGGAGGTCATTCAAGGTGAAATATGAGCGTCACCCCAGGACATATCTAAACGTAATATTTTTCGCTCATTTCATTGCAGGAGTCAAAAATGAGGATCTACGTTTAAAACTCTACCTTTAAATGACCTTCAAGGTCAAAGAAGAATCCAAGGTCATCTTCTGATAGCTGAGGATTAATCCTACAACTTTTATTTGAAGTATTTCACCCTAAAATGAAGTCCCGAAGAGTTACCCATTAGTGGCGATTTGACGTTGAAGATCACTCAATGTGAAATATAAGGATCGCTCAAGGTGATGCTTGAATTTAAAATGTTCCGCGAGTATCATTACTCGAATCAATAATAGGTCTTTACATTATTTGAAATTTTTTTAACCTTCAAGGTCAAAGTCAAGGTAAAAACCAAGGTCAACGACCGATAGATGAGGCATAATCCTACAACCCTTATTTGAAGCATTTCTGAAAAGTATTCCCAAATAGTTGTCGAGCCGTCACGGTATTTTGCCACACCACATTATGCCATATATTGCTAACAACGAACATGGTTTTGTGATGTACATGTCGTGAAACATTAAAAAAGTATTATCTTGATTTAGAAATGTTTCGCAATTACAAATACTTCCCCGCCAATTGGCGCGAGAAGTAAAAAAGTATAACAAATGGCAAATTCGCAGGATTAATATTTGGTGGACTTTTTGGTAATTTTTATAACCTAACCGTTTTCACGCATATTGAAATAAAAAGTACATGGATGAGGCTATAAAAATAGACAAAAAAGTACTAAATAGTAAAATATCTCATGAGCTCAAACCCAAACTTCAAACAGAACATAAATTACCTTTTAAGTGCAATCTGTACAGCTGATATATTAGGTACCCAGACTTAGATTTGTCACAAGTCACAATACTCGTACATACGTATAAATCGTAAGAATTGTGCTGTAAACAAGTGATTTCAAACAGGGCCAGCATTTGGAATACCAAAGGATACCAAAAAATCGCAATGCTCAGTTCATATAGCTATAACTTACAGTTAGTATGCTTCTGTCGCCATGATGTGTCAGAAAGTAACACAGTGGTGTTAGATTACAAAAGCAAGCTAAATCCGCCACTGTCTATAGCTTATGAAAAACTATGACTAATGCGATTTTTGAAGGGAAATTCGGATAAAAGATTAACGACCATTGCTGTAAAGTTTTATGGGTGATTCTTCACGAACGCAAAAAAATTCTCCCACCTTATCCCTCAATTTTGAGCAATCCAGAGATTTTGAAAAATGATTAGGGGACTGAAACGTACAGCAAAAAGCTTAAGCATTTTTTGTATTTTTTTTTTGTTTTAAAAAATTCAAAACTTTTTCATACTCCTCTTAGGAGCAATCTTGTGTCTAAAAAAATCCATATGGAGGTGCCAAAGATTTGCAGGCAGACTGGCAGACATGAGTAGCATGGATTTTTGGGATTGTGTGTCACGAAATATTAAAAAAAGATATTTCGATTTCGAACCTTTCTGAAAATTGTCATGGGAAGTACAACGCCTAGTATAAGAAATTGTCGCTATTGAATATTTGTCTCAATCAACGTAAAGAAAAAGTTTTATAAAATCTTGAAGGCTAGGTTGTCACAAAATATTCTCTCCCCGTGGGCCAAAGGACTATTAAGACTTACAAGAATCTAGTCATTGTTGAAACTAACCTTTTCTTGTCGAGTATCATTTCCACTCTTGTCCTCACTTGGAGATAATGATCTGTTACAAAGCCATCTATTTGTTTTTCGTTATTCCCGAATTTCATTACCTGAAATTTTGAATCAATCAATCAATCGAAAAACAATCATTCCTCACCAGTTGGCGTGGGTAGTAAAAACACAACTTACCTCTTCTTGACTGCTAGCCATTTCGGTCTCAAAGAAAGTTACTCGTATTTAACAAGTTGAACAGGCAACAGAAACTCACTGGCTGCAAAATCATACTCAAAACGTTGGGAATCAAGATACGACTGGATAGATGATGTTGTTATACGTATAGACGCGACATGCAGCGTTGCCAATGATTTTTAGAAGAGGAACCAAAATAATCTACGGAATGAAGGCAAAGCTCCAGTGAGCATATTTATGCCTCCGCGTAGCGGAATTTCTGTGAACTAAAATCATATTTTTTGGTTACAAAGGTAGTAATAAATTGCATCCACACATTATTCAATTGCAGCCATCTGGTGCCAGGTATCATAGAACAAAAACTCAACACAGATTCTGCTGTAAAGATTGAAGCATCTCTGGTCTTCTAGAGCGGCAGAAATCGAGTTAACTATTTTGAGTCCGATATATGGTATCAATATAGTCATGGAGTCAAGATGTAATGTGCCGTGCATGTTGATGGAAGCAAATGATTGACCTGGATGTAAATATATATATATATATATATATATATATATATATATATATATATATATTATACTTATATTACACGGAGATATGCGAGTAAATAGTACTTATTTTTATATTAATATATTATATATGAGCATCGATAGCTTGAAATATGTGAGCAGCTAGGACATCCTATTAGTTGATGAGTCCCGATGAAGACTAGAGATACGAGGTTAAGCTAATGGAGTTTTAGTGAAGCCAAGATTGTCGGCGATGAAGGGAGTTGGTACTCTGCGCAGCAAATGAATGTCAGGTTCTGGGCAAGTTACTTTTCTGTCTGTTTCTGACATTATGACTGTAAAGCAGCAATATTTAACAATATCGATAAACCACGAAGTAATACTCCTACTAGCCATGGCAAAACGTGAGTAGAATGCACATAAATATTGCGGCAGGTTATGTTGATTTTCGCTCCTTGAGAAAGGGTGCGGTATTCATAGATCTCTACTGTTTCGTGTCAGCGTCAGCGTTCTCCTGTTGCGGTTATGTTTTCTTTTTGAATCTTAAGAAATATCAGGCCGATGAAATACATGATCAAATTTTATCAGCCTGGAATATCTTATGATTCAAAAAGAAAATTTAATCTCAAAATAGAGGGCTTACACGAAACACTAGATATCTAGAAGTACCTCTGTATTTCAGGAAAATCTAAGAATATCAAGGAGACCATAAAGGTATTCTACAATTGTAGGAATGACTGACGATATGTCCCTAAGTCTCAGGCAACCAGTAATTCTTGTGGTGACCTTAGAATTCCATCAGGAACTAAGTAAATTGGTTATAAATTGGTGGCCATCCCAGAAGACTAGAGGGTGCAAAGGCTTAATGTTCGATTTTCCTTGAGCTCATACTTACGGGACTATATTTCCAGCCACCGCTGACGCCGACGGATGTCCGTCGTTGCCTTCGTCGAGAACTGAAACTTTGTTAGGGCCATTACACGCATGCTGCTACCGATAACTCCATCTCTTAACTTGGAAACTGCCGGTTTATTCACTTAGCGGACACTTGTGCCATCTTCGCGACGCAGGCGGCGATGACGGCATTTGTTTCTTCGCGGACGGTCAACGGTGATGGATCGGATAACTAGATCCGGATGCAGCCTCTTTTGTGTCTTCCTAATTTACAGCAGATCTGCAATCTGTCTTATAGGTTGTGAAGACGACAAAACTGTATATGTTATCGCATTGCTTAGCGAATTCTACCTGGAAATGGTCAACTCAATACTGTGTTTTGACGTCCACAATATTACTCGAGGTGAAATGCGATGCCGTATCGTCATATAGCAGAATTTGTCACCTGCTATCTTTCTTATATATGCAACAAGTATAAAAATCTACTTTCAAAAGGATTGTGTCCCTTAGGTGGCACTGTAGCAAATACGAGGGATGTCTTTTAAGTTCTGCATATAGAAACATAGTAGGCCGCGCGGATCGAACGTCAGTACTGAATCTTAACCTCACTCTTTAGTAAACTTAAATTCAAAGTTTCACAACAACACGTGCAATGCTCTTACTACAGTAAATTTTTAAGTGTCACGAAGTCATTAGAAAAATGGAACTGAACCGAGAACATTTTCGCGCCATAATTTGTTACAACTTCCAGAGGCAATTATCGCAACAAGCATGCCTTGCTGAGTTACTGTCTGTTTTCGGCAACGAAGCGCCACATCAGTCGACAATTTCCCATTGTCGGCTGTTCCAAGGTGAAGAAAAGCCAACAAAAGTCATCCGTTCTCGAAGTGTTTCGAAAAAGATGGTTGCGGCATTTATGTCAAAAGCAACAATTCCTCTTAATGAGCAAGGAACTGTTACTGCGGATTGGCATACCACCATTTGTTTGCCAAAAGTCATCACCGAGCTTCGAAAAATCAACCCCGAAAGAAGAATCATCCTCCAACAAGACAATGCAAGGTCGCACACAGCCCAAAAAACAAGGCAGTATTTAACGGAAGAAAACGTGGAATTATTGGACCATCCTCCATATATTCCCGATCTAAGTACTAACGATTTCTTTACTTTCCCGAAAATTAAAAACAGACTGCGTGGTCAAAGGTTCCAGTCACCAGAAGGAGCAGTTGACGCATTCAAAAATGTCGTTTTGCCAGCAAACGAGTGGAATAAGTGCTTCGAAAATTGGAGCGCATGCAGATCTTCGTATATAATACTTCGAAAAACAACAAATACTTCGAAAAGCAATAAAGTCATTTAAAACTACCTACCGTGATGTTTTATTTCCATATGCAAAACCTAAAAGACATCCCTCGTATAAGCATTTTTAAATATTTTTTTTCTTAGTTTTTAACAGAGAGGAGAGGCATAGATGAGAGAGATATGCCGATCTAGCTAGATTCTATTCCCAAATGTTTCAGTTATACGATTTTCCTCTAGTCAATTTTAGAAGACGGTGACCAAAATGACCGAAACGTTAGTAAACTTTGAACTGATGATATCATTTTGAGGCCAGAAAAACATGGAAATTGGAAAAAACCGTCTTACGTACGTACGACTTATTTTTGGCGAGAATAGTAATTTAAGAAGTTTAGTTAAGCATAAGTTTACAATATGTATTGCTTCTCTGGCATATTATACATTTACTTCAATTTTACATCTGTGATTTGATTTGGCGGCCTGTAAAACATCCGTAGTATAACCTCAAGATAAATTTCAGATGTCACATTGACCGCAGCGTGTTTCCCAAATACCTACAACGAGCTTATTGCTTCATGCGGTCTATACGTCAAATATCTAACTTAGAACAAGTGGTCTGACACATTCGCATGTAAGTGAATATAGTATTGAACAGCTTGGTCAAAAACTTAACCAATGTTAAAAACAAATGAGACATGGACAGAATTGAACCTGTACAGAAATCCTGACTAAAATTTACTCTACCTGAGTTTCAAAGCGTTTCGCATAAGTTGCTTGATGCAAGGTCGGTGTCAGTTGCTTGCATGTAGTCTTTTTCACAAGATTTTGTTTTTTAAGCAACCACCATATCTATTCAATAAGACAACTTTTCGCACCTACACATGTTGAAGAAAATTGAGGTTAGTCGTCCCGGCAAGAAGAATGGCCCAATAAAGTGGTTGCCAATAATTCTTGCCCATACGTTAACCGAAAATTGGTGTAGGAAATGTGTTTCGGTTACGGCACAGGGATTTTCTTCCGCCCAAAAATGATTACTGTGTAAATTCTGAATGGCATTTTGAGAAAAATTAGCTTCGTCCGTGAACAGAATCATTGATTCAAATTGCGGATTTTGTGTAATTTTTTGAAGATACCACAGACTAAAGGTCACACGCCTTGGAAAATCAATGGGAAGTAACGCCTGTACTCTTAAAATATGGTAAGGATATAACACAAAATCCACTAAAATTCTCCAAACAATTTGATCTCAAATATTTAAGTGTCTAGCAATCTTCCTCGTACTCATTTCAGGACGTTCTTCGACTTCGTGCAGCATTGCTTCCTCAATTTGAAGTGTTCTCGCACTTAGAGGTATACCTTCAGATGTTCTTTTTCATACAGAACCAGTTTCAACAAGACGACGATGAATATTAGAAAAGGTTCGACTATCTGGCAAAGCACGATCGGGATATCTCTGGTGATAAATCCGTCTGTCTTGCTCACCATTACCGTCTGCAATGCCATCTACGTAATGCACTTCAGCCCTTTCTGAATTTGAATAATTCACCATTATCAACAAGACTGTAATGAAAAAGATGTCACAGCGAACAGTTTTGAATAACAGAGACTTGTCAGATGTCTCAAGCCAGTGACGTAATACACAGAGCAACTAGAGTAACTACAGTATTTTTCTCGGACAATAGACTGGTTTTTATTTTTTTACTCAAAAATAGCGTATCGAAGGAAAAAAATTTAAGAGATGTCATTTGTTTTGAATTGAACGAGAAATTCAAAAATAGTTTTTATTTGGAAAAAAGCCATTGGCGTACTATTTTTTTCTTAAAAAATATCGAAGCCAACATCCGTACGCACGCCACTGTTAAAGCTAAAAATTATTTTTTCATTAAAAAATATGCAACTTCATTAACTTCCACTACGTACTAGATATCAGTGAATAATCGGTTCTGAAAATATTAATTAATTTCCATATTTTTTCCTAAAACTTCAACACCCCGACTTTTTGTAAGGATACATTTTTGGAGCATAGTTTATAAAGCAAACTACATTTTTCATGTAGATTCATACACTTGAATATTCGCATATCATTAACGAACACCCTGTATATCACCTCCTCCTCATCGAACTTCATAATGATGTATTTTTGAAAGACTAATATAAATGAGGCACAAGACATAAAAAACTAATGAATATTTATTTTTTGTAATGTCACTTACATTCTTTGGGGCTTCTCTCAGGGCCGAACTTGCATCAATTTCAAATGCTTTTAAACCTTTTTGCAACATAATGCATTTATCTGGTTTGATTTTCACTTAAACTGTATGTTATACAATATTATTATTTTATTAAAAATGTTGCTGTAAGTACTGTCAGATAGATATAGTGAGTGACAAAAAGAGGTACACACCTACATATTATGTTTATCCGATTTTAATAATTGGAAATAAAGGAAATGCCTTTGGCTTGCTATTTCACAAGAGGAAATTCGTTGCAGTGCCACTCTATCGCAAAATGTATAAGGATGCATTTTACTAATTACAATTTTTATTTTTTTTCAGGTAAGCTAAAGATTTGATCAAAGTCCAAGTCGTAAGTACTTAGAGATTAGAACTTAGCATTCCGGGCAGGTATAGCGTTTAGTTATAATTGCTACAATAAAACTAAGAGAACGGAATTGTCGAATGGGAGACATTTTCATTATTTTTGACTGATATATATTAAAGATGCATCTACTTTTTGAAACTATACTATCATACAATCGACTAGTATTAGTCTAAAGATATACGGATGTTACTTAATCATGGGTAGAAATTTCGAAGGCGCATTTCTGAACTGAATTTTAGAAGAAGAGTTCGTATAAGTAAGTGACGTAAAACGTTTGATCTCTAAGATACAAGGTGTAATGATTTAATAAAAGTTTTTTTTTATTAACATCGTAAAGATCGTTTTGTCCGCTTTGATTGAATTTTGTTGTTCATTGCAACAAAACCCTTGATTAATTTGTTCCAAAAACAAGATAATAACAAACTCATTAAACTAAATATTTAAAATGTCAACAAAGTAAAAAGTCTCAATAGAAAATGTTCAAAGTCAATTTTCCCCATTAAATGATCTTGTTAGATAACACCTTTATCCACTCGTGTCTTCAATTATGAATTCTAGTGGCGCCTCGGGGAGTAGTCTCACAAATGGTGTTGACAAAAAAATATACGCCACTGAGTTTTGAAAAAAAAATTGTTGGTTGATGATATAACTTTTGCCACTTGGTATTCGTTTTTGAGTGAAAACATTAAAATGACTTTATAACATGTCGAAAATTGTTAAAATAAAATAAATTTAATTCGATGGATGCAAAATATTTACATATACGCCATTTTTCAAAATGTAAGCTTTGGAAACTTATACTGAAAAAATGTTGGAAACGACCACCTTCCGCTTGTATGCAGACCTGGGCTCAATTTTTCGCCATGTAGGCCATGTTTTTATTTTTTTCCTCGAGAACGCAGCGAGATACGAAGACATATCACGAGACCAAAAAGTTTCACCAAGAGCTGCTTAATCTGAAAAACGTACATGTTTCTTAAAAGCCAGTGGCGCACATTTTAAGTCAATATTATTCCCAAGGCTGTTCCCCGAGACGCCACTGGAACTCATAATTATCTTCTAGTTAGTGTTAACTGAGCATCTTATTTCAATTAACAACACTGCCTTAAAGGAACAAAGTCGGCACTAAGGTATTTGAGATGTTAATAAAAACTAAACTGTTCATAAACCCTTGACACTCTGTATCTTGGAAATAACACCTTTCAGGCCACATGCTTATATCCACTATTTAAGTTAAATTTGGTTGTGCATCCTTGTGATCACGGCTTATCATTAAGTAACACACTTTTGACAAATGGTTTCCTCCAACTTTTACTTGGGAAACACGACAAGGTACTTATAAGAAACTTTAAAATACGGTATCACATGACGAGCATCTGTGACCACGGGCTTCACATCTAGAAGCTGGCGGCAGGCTAAAGTGGTAGTCATTCCTAAACCGGGCAGAGCTAGATATACTGGACCGAAGGATTTTCGACCGATTACTCTTTCATCATTTCTGCTTAAGACACTGGAAAGGATAGTTGATAGATACTTAAGGGATGGCTCGCTGGAAAGGTGTGTCATTCATGCAAATCAGTTTGCATACCAAGCTGGAAAATCGACTGATCTGGCCTTACACAATCTGGTCGGTAGGCTGGAGAAGACTCTAGATCAGCGAGAAGTCGCACTCGTGGCCTTCTTGGACATTGAAGGTGCAGTTAGTTGCACCACAACTGACTCTATCAGACATGCCTTGGTTAGACACGTGGTTAGATCAATCCTAATAGATTGGGTCCTATCTACTCTGGAGGGTCGGGTAACAACAGCTTTGCTGAATGACGTAAGCTGCATCGTGAGTGTAGCTAGAGGCCACCCTCAGGGCGGAATTCTGTCACCCCTACTGTGGTGTATCATGGTGAACGAACTCCTCGTTAGGCTCAGCAGTATGGGTGTCTACGCGCAAGCCTATGCTGATGACGTAAGCATAGTAGTTAGGGGGCGTTTTTGTAGACCAGTCTCGGAAATTATGCAGGGCGCTCTGCGCTCCGTGGAATCGTGGTGTAGGGAAGTCGATCTTTCTGTTAATGCTGAAAAGACCTAGCTGATCGTATTCACTAGGAGAAGAAGGCTTGACGGGCGGGTCATGCCGACCTTCTTTGGGACTAGTTTAGCTTTGTCCCAGTCAGTGAAATATCTGGGAATTATCCTGGATTGCAAACTGAACTGGAGAGAGCATGTGGAATACAAGGTTAGCAAGGCTCGCAATTCGATGTGGGCTTGTAGACGTGTTGTCGGTGTAAGGTGGGGGCTTAAACCCAAAGTGGTATACTGGCTCTACACGACGATAGTACGTCCATCTCTCTTGTACGGCTCCCTGGTCTGGTGGCCTTGCATTAGAACTGAGTCAACTAAGGTCAAACTCAATAAAATTCAGCGTTTGGCCTGTATTGGCATTACAAGCGCAGTGCGAACAACGCCATTGAGTGCAATGGTAGCTCTGTTGGATCTCCCACCGTTGGATCTGGTGATCCGCGGTGAAGCGAGAGTAGTCGCTCATCGACTGTGGAGTCAGGGCAGCTGGGCTTTCTTGAATCCGGTCAAGGGGCATACTGCCATCTTAGTCGAATTAGAAAGGGAGAACCCCGTCCTCCTAAGCAGGGGTGATCGTATTACCCCTAAATATCGCTTCAACCGCAAGTTTATTGTGGAGTATCCAACGAGGGAGTAGTGGGACGCCGGTAGCCGAGGACTCTCCGAAGTGAGCGGGCAGGTCTGGTACCCGGACGGCTCGGCCACCGAAGAGGGCTCGGGTGCTGGGGTCTCTGGGCCTAGAACTAGGCTATCTCTGCCTCTCGGTGGATACACCACCATTTTCCAGGCGGAAACCTTTGCGATTCTGGCTTGTGTATCTCACATTCTGGAGGAGGGTGGGCCCAGGAGAAGAATAACAATCTTATCCGACAGCCAGGCTGCAATGAAAGCACTACGTGCCTGTAAGATTACTTCGAGTCTTGTATTGCAATGCAGGGCGGCTCTGGATTGCCTCGCAGCGAGGCATCGTTAATATGGGTACCGGGGCACGCTGGGATAAGGGGCAATGAGACGGCGGACACTCTGGCGACGACAGGATCAGCCAGCTCGTTGATCCTGAGCCAGCTCTAGGAGTGACCGCGCATAAAGCTAGGAGGAAAATGGAGACGTGGGTTGCAAGACAACACTCTCAGAAATGGAGAAGTATCTCCAGACATCTCCGCCAGGCACGAGAACTCATTGAAGGGCCCAGTGCTAGGGATGGACGCTTCTGCCTGTCTCTGGATAGAGCCAACCTCGGCGCACGTTTTGTGTCGCTGTGAAGCTCTGAGCTACTATAGGCTACTATACTGGGGTCCATTACTTTGGACCCTCAGGACGTCAAGGAGTTTGGACTCAAGGCGATTCTCAACTTCGCTAAAAGGGCGAGGCTTGTAATCTTAGGATTGTAGAGGTGCATAAGGGCCCGCTTAAGCGGCCTATGCTCTGGCTCCTTATGGTGGCTGGAATGCCTCTAATTTCAAGATTCATTCATTCATTCATCACATGACTACATTTAAAAAGATAGCGCCCAGCAGCCATTTTTAAATTCTCATTTTTAAGTTAAACTATAGTATTCATGCATTAATCTAATTCCGAATTTCAGCTCCCTAGCAAGACCCATTCGAACAGTGGGTAAGACGGTCCTTTCTAAAAACTTATTCATGCGTATCCAGGTTCATACCAGTTAAAATCTAGCTGCCTTTGCAATCTGATATAAGGATGCTTATGATTAAATGACAAAGAAGATGATATGGTGTATTTTATCTAATAAAATACAACTTAATTCGGTAGCACTTTTCTGAGGCACATTCCCTACAACGTGTGTACATATAGTAATTTTTATAAATAGTCAACTAAAACAATTAGAGGAGGGCCAATTTATAGGGGGTCATCTTAATTTTAGACGAAAGCAGACGATTTTTTATATACTGAAGCAGTCGCCACCTTAATCCGATTTTTGAGCTGCCTGAAGTTAGAAGAACTGGGAAAACTTGCTCAATCAGAACCTTCAGCAATCTCGACACTCTACGAACGAAGGAAAGGTCGTACAGGCCAGTTATTGGAGTACGACAGATTTGGATTTGGAAGCAGAAGCCTGGCAGGCTCAGCATCATGCATCAGATAGCAAGATTGCCGACTGCCCGTCGATGCGAAAAGCTCCAAAGACTGTCCTTTAGAGAAGCATCGGATTTGGACAATGTAGCGGCTAAATAGTCAGTGTGACCATTATCTTTACAAGATCCCAAGATTTATGTTTATAGGCACTTTTCGAGTTATTTCTCAACATAATCGTGCGTAAGGGATATTGCCATATGCTCCTTCCAAAGCGATATTTTATCCGTTTTTTGGGAGCCACCTTTTTTGTCAGTATTTATTGGTCTTCCGGATATCTATTCTACTTAAAGTTGGCAGCCATGTGGCGCAAGATAAAATACTGAATTTAAGATACACTAGGATTGATTTGCGTATTCTCTAAGAATGTGGAAATTTACTTGCAACTTACATCTTCACAGCCATGTTCGCAAGTAGAATCGCAATAATTACCCTCTAAGTAATAAAAACAGATTCCATTTTCCTCCCAAGAAAAACTGTCATTCCATCTTAAGGTCATCCATTAACTCTGCTCAGGATTTTTCAATGACGGAGAATCCGGGAACTTTAACTCCAGCGTATCTCCAAAATATTTAATTTCTTTCTGTGGCTCCAAATATTCAAATTTGTCAAAGCCGATTAAAGAAATGCAAAGCATATACAAATGAATTGCTCACTCAAAACACTTAAAATTCTCTGCCTGTTTACTTTCTACGCCTACTGGAAGTATCGTGATCGAGAAAAAATTCTATATTGACATATTTTTTGGATGTCACTAACTTCCGTCGGTGTATCTGTCTGTCTGTCCGGTGATCCTTGCCACCT